TTTTTTTCATTATTTTTTTATGCCAACTCCAGTGATTTTCGTGACCTCAAAACTTATCCCAAATTTTTATGTATTTTAGGTTAAAAAGATAAAATTTAAATAAAAGATGACGCTCGATAGATAGTCCACCCGGCCCTTAAATCAAAGATGACGCTCGATAGATAGTCCACCCGGCTCTTAATATAAGAAAAAAAATTCCCTCTCTTCTTTACTTTATAGAAAGTTATTTTCACTGTCTACCTAATCCAAATCTATTTTTCCGAAGTCAACGTTTTTTTTTTGATTCATTTCAATTTTTCTTCGAAATTAATATTTAGCAAAAAACTCACAATTTATCTCTAGGAGCTCTTATTTGGATCTTTTTTTGTAGCATTTACTTTTAAGATGAGCAAGAGGATTCCTCATAATTTTTTGTCTGGACCGGATTCAGATATTTTTCAAACACTTTATATATATTTTTTTTTTGCTCTCAATTGTTGAAAACGATCATTTCAATTTGAGATCAAGTCTTAAAAAATATTGAAAAATTGGTAAATAGGGAAATTCATGTAGACGTATACCTTAATAGAAAAATATGATATACGGTGGCATTTTATTTTTATTGAAAAAGTCTCAATAAAAATTTCACTCTCACAATCTCCAAATGAGATTAGTTTTTCAGAAATCAATATCCTAACGTAAGTAGAGGAATGTTCAAAGAACTTATTTTGCAACTTTATTCCTTCTGTATAAAAAAGCCCCGGTTAATATATATTTTCGCTGTCTCACACCAAATTTTATTTAGACCATCGCATCTAAATAGAAAATGAGAAAGTTATACTAAACATTTACCGAAACTCCCTAGATACATTTTTCTGGCCATTTTAGGGCAAAATACATTAACTGACGATTACGATTGAGAGAGATAGATTTCATTTTACCTGTGAATTTGTTTCCAGAGCTTTGACTGAAAAAATAGTTGCAATGCTTCCAATAATGAATTGCCCACATTGCATTGAACCTCACCAGATACAGGGATTAGACTGTATTCATATATTTCCAGTTATACAGGTGATTATCACTGAGCACAAAATCTGAATGCTCGTCTTTGTTCTTAAAATGAATTTTATAATCTAATAAATCTCCATTTTAGGTAACTTTCTACTGATTTTCTCTGAAACAATTTTTTTACGATAATCTCATTTGATGGTTTTTTGTTGCGATTTTTCAGTGGCTTGTAAAGAGATCAATGGAAATGAGAAAAGAAATGGCAGGTTTCGTTCGAGAATTTGCTATAAACCAATTCGGTAAACTGCATTCATCAGATGGAAAAACAGAGAAAAACAGAGTCGTCAGTGAGGATATTGAAGCAAATCTTAAATTAGTGAAAAGAGCGTATGAACCACGAAGAAGATTTAAGAGAGCAACGGCTGAACCGAAAGACGAAATATCTAGGGTGAAAAGTACTTTACTGGAGTACGGAAATCTGCCCGTATCTACAACAATTTCGGAGGATTTTGAAAAAGAGCAAAAAAGTTCTGAAGTTGTTAGGGAGGTTGATTCGGAGAATTCTGGTGCTCGATTGGTTACTTTAGAAGAGGAACGACTGAGTGCCAGTGCCGTGGGGAACATTGTCGGACTACAGGCCCAAGAAATAATTGAAGTTTCAGAAAAATATGCATCTTTATCTACTGAAGCTGGGGTAACTATTGCACTCAAATTTTTTAATTCCTGAATAAATTCGTAAATAACATCATGTCATTACATCCATTTCTTTGAGAAATTGTTAACATTTTGGGATGGAAATCAATTTCGTTATTCCTTCTAATTGAATTTCTTTTAGGATATAAGGAGTGGATTAAGATTGTTAATTGCTCTTGAAAAACAACGATTAAATTTTCAATATCGAGTGAAAAAGTTGAAAAAAGAAAGAGAAATGCAAATTTCCGAAATTTCCGAGGAAACTGAAAAATTGGAACAGATACAGGCGGATAGACAAAATGTGGAGGATGCATTTGTGAAAATGAGCAAGATGGAGACAGAAGAGAACAAAGGGTACTAAAACGATTTATTAAAAGAATTTTTCTTTTGTCTACTAAATTATCTAGAAAATGAGTATAATGACCTGCACCGAAAAGTTTGAATTTTAGATAATACATTTGGTAGAGTTGACAATCATATATTATTTATTTATTATGGAAGAGGGAAATTTTCCCCCTGGAAAAAACACTGGATTTGGGGTCCAACATGGCGATTGTGAATATCTGTTTTTGCATACTATTCCTCCTAGTTCATCAATATTTCCCAAATTCAAAGATTTAAAAATCGAATTAGAAAAAAAATTACGAAGGAATAATAACTAAGCTGTTGTAATAGGGATTTCTCTCGAATTACTAGCCAAAAAATTTCCATCAGCCCAAGCGAATTGTGCTCATACAGATTCGTTTTGTTCTAGGATTCTCTTAAAATTAGAAGAATTGTTAGCAGTTCATGCGGGTCTCAAAGACCAGGAGCACAAGTTCAGAGAGCAATGCAAATCAGATTTAATGTACCTACAGAAACTAGTGAAGAATTGTGGTGAGACTTGTGAACCACAAGAGGAGCAGAATCGAGTGGTTGAATACGATGCCCTAAAGGAGTCAATCAATAAGACTAGATTGCTACTAGCGAAGAAAAATCGCGCGATCGCCTTATTAATGAGGCAATTAGATGATGTTCCTGGGCGGTCGGAATTGACCCAGTATCAGAGGCGATTTATGGAATTATATAATCAAGGTTTGTTAATATGTATAAGATGGATAAGTAAAGATGCATCTTCAGATTTAGCTCTATAAACTATCGGAACATAATTGCTTCGTATTGTTTGTTACAGTTTCAACAAAGCACAAAGAAACGAAACAATATTACACCCTTTACAATACATTAGATGATACAAAACTTTATCTCAGTAAAGAATTATCGCTTTTGAATTCAATTCAAGAGAACTACAATGAGTAAGTATGAACGACTCAATGAAATACATAAATGCATAAATAAATGTAATAGATGACCAGTAAAATTATTTCCTATTAAATTATATTCCCTTTTTGTTGTTCATGAAATTCTCAGTGAGAAATTTGTCGCAACTGAAATCGCTGTTTTTTCTAATAATTTTACAATCACGTCAATTTATTTCAGAAGTGTATTTAGAATTTTTGTTGACCCTAACATATCCATTGAAAAAACCATTTTTTTGTCGATTATCAAATAAAACTGAATTGACACACTGAAAAAAACGAATAATTTTATATTTGAAAAGATTATCAAAAATGGGGTTTGTGCGCTTCAAAACTTCACTATATTCTCTTATATATTTCACGTTTTAAAAATATTTTCCTCTATATTTCTAGAGCAATGGCATCCGTAAGTGGTAAAGAACAATTCCTTAAACAATTCGAGGCGATAATTTCTGGAGTTAAACGAAATAGAGAAAAGGTAAAAATTTTTATTGGCTACACAGTTGATATTTTTGTCTTTTCAACAATACATGTGCACTTAAAGGCTCAACCTTTAACCTTGCAGTTAATCAAAAACACGTTTCTACAAAAATATCCAAAAATTCTATTGAAATGCAAAAATAACTTGTATTTACAGTGAGGATTACCAACAATTGATTTTTCGTTTTGTTCAATCATCACATTAGGTCGAGAAAAAGTGTGCAGAGGAGAAGGAGAGGCGTTTTAATCTCAATAAGGACTTGGTAACACTTGTTGAGCAGCAAAGGAAATATGTCGCAGCAGTACGGCAACTTACAATCGAATGTCGAAAGAATGAGGCCCTTCTGGGTCGACTCCGAGCCTCATAAATATTAAAGAGTTTCGCAAAATATTCGAATTTTTTGTTTTTAAAAAAAAGTTTTCGTTACTATTCCTTATAAATTATACATCATGATAATATGGAAAGTGCTTTCAAAGAAATAATCAATCATGAGAATTAAAGAAAGGTAGACATTAAATTGCATCTTGAGTCTTTTAATTCTTTCAATTCCTGACAATTATTGAGAATAACATGCGTAATAAGTTGGAAACAAACAATTTTGGGGAGAAATGCTAGTACATTTTTTGTTCAGACGCTTGTCGACCATTAAAAAATGTTTTTTCTACTTCTTTCGACAAAGCTAGTCGTTTCAAGGATCTTTATGAAATAATTTATACATTAAATTACTTGTGTTTCGTTGCTTGTTGCATTATCTTACTGACGAGCGATCTGGAGTGAAAAAAAATACAGTTTAGGTTTTTGCGCGAGAAGTGAAATTATATACACTAGGGCGATATCAGATCAGAAATCAAGAACCGGTGTTATTATCTGCGATGCTATATTTTTTGTTTTTCCACCCAACAGATAACTCTGTTGAAGCAATCCTAACAAGTGGTGGGATATTGAATAATGTGGTCTATCTTGGAAAAATTTTATGCCCAACCTAAAATCCCCAAGGTAGGCGTGACATACCGATTTCATGTGCACTGAGGTTGAAGTAGTCGTAACTTCGGTTTGTTCAGAGATAAATTGATAAAATTTGGAGCATTCGACAGATGATTTCGTGAGTTTTTAAGTGATATGGGATTTGTGTTATTCACATATAAGAGGGCGCGACATTGAGGACTGAAAGTTACAAGTGACCAGGGTTGACAGCGATTTCTTAAATAAGGAAATTTAGTAGAAATAAGTTACAACTCTTCATGAACTTGACAGTGATTTGATTGTGATTTCAACATTTTCCACTCAAGCCACTCTCCCTTATTCCTCAATTTACTGACTTCCAAATCCTTTAATTATTAGCAAGTGCTCCAAATCTATTCCCAGATAATACCAAGTCTTTTCGCTGGTCCTCACTACTTTCCTCATCGTCTTCTTCACTCTCAACGTCTTGTTCATCTCCCTCATTGCTGCTCTTCTCGCTATTACCCTCTTCCTCGTCTTCTGAGAAAGAGTCTTGTCCCCCTTGAGCCTCACAGTACTCCATATCGCCCTCTTTGACACTTGCTTGAACCCACTCGATCTCTTCTATATCCTCATGGTTCTCCCATTTTTGCTTCTCGCTACTCCACCCCAACGGATATACAAACACACAAAGCTTCCCTTCTAACGCCATTCTTAGTAGGGAATTAGCAGCCCTGTATGTGTCCAACCTAGCAGTTCTAGCAGTTGTATAATTTCGTTTTGCAGCCCACCCCTCGCAGATGTCCATGGCCGACCAGACCTCGTCGTCTTCCTGATGCTGGATTCTCAGCAGTTTTGGTAAATCCAACCTCATCCCTATGAATTTGATCGTGGTGTAAGGTTCTCTCACCTGGAATTCAAAAATCAAAGAAGTCAAACTAAAAAGTTTTAGCAATTATTTTTCAAAACAAAATATATTACATACATCATCAGTCACCGAGAATAATTTTAAAAAATGTTGCAAATATTTTCAAACGGAAGAGAAAAATTTTTCTGCCATATCATTTAGGAAAAATTGAATGAGCTTTTTTGAAAAAGCTTATTTGGTCGTTTGATCACTATTCAAAGCCAATTGTGCAATTGTTTCGTTTGCATCCCCTGAATTATCTTAATGATGGGTTATATTAATCTTTCCTTATATGTATCACGAGAAATTTGGTATCGAAACATGACGTTAAAAAGTCCCATTTTCCATAGAAAAGATTGTTTTTTCTTCAGATTCACAAATTTTCATAAATCACTTTATTTTCCTTATGATTTTCATTCCCCAATCTACAAAGAACAAGTTTCGAAATAAAAAAAAAAATTCAGATGTTGAAAACGTTTACAAAACCATTCGTAATAACTTCTAGGCAAATGTCACCTGAGCAATTGGAAAAGATCCCATCAAGATTTGCAGCTGTTTAGGAACAGTTGAAGGGAATACAAGACCTGGACAATCACAAAGACATACATTCTTTGTCAGAAAAATCGTCTGAAAATGTTTAGTGTGTCCAGGTGTTCTTGACACGCTCACCACTTTCTTCCCCATCAATGCATTCATCAATGAAGACTTGCCGACATTAGGTGTCCCAATGCAGCCAATAGTCAAAACTCCATTCTTGTACTTCTCATGTTCATAATAGCCGGTATCCTCCTTTTTGATGATTAAATTATCTTTATGATCAATGTCCTCCAAGTCGTAGTCCATCTGCATTTCCTGATGTATTTTTCGCTGCCATCTTGATAAATCGACCTGATCTCCAACGATAGTTTTGCAGATTGAAAGGAGCTTCTGAGCACCTTCTGCTGCCATCCTCAGCTTTCCTCGTCGTCTCCTCTGTTTCAATCCTTCACCATCTTCTCGGTTTTCTCTGAGATTGTACTTGGGGAAGGACGTGAAGAACAAAATGTGGAGTTTGGGGTAATATACTTTGAAGTATTCTCTCCATGCTACAACTAGGGCTGGAGGAGCTAGATCAATCTTGTTGAGAACCAGAATCATTTCTTTCTTCAAATCGTTCGTCACGTAAGTGTAAAGGTACGGAGGAAACATCAGGACGGGATATCTGATGTCCACAATAATGAGAAGAACATCGGACATCTCCAAAACTCTCCACAGTTGCCTCCACGTCTCCAGATTGAACTCAAAGTAGCTGATGTCTTTAATACTCTCGAGTTGTTTCAAGTATTGTGTAAAATATTGGTGCTCCCTCTTGTCCAGCACTTCCTGGGACATTGAGAAGTTCCATGGTGGGCGCTTTGGTATGTCTAGACCTTCAGGAAAGTAGTTCGAGGAGACTTCCTGTTGATCCAGGGAGAGAGGTTCAATGGTTTTGCGGGCTTCCTCTTTTCGTTGCTGGAGTTCTTGTGGAGATTCTTGAAGGAAGTGTAGGGCATAGCGGTTTCGGCCGGTGCTGTCACGTGGTTGTTTGTTGATTTTTATAAGGCTTTCCTGGGTTGAGTCATCCTCGACGTTAACATCTTGTTTGTGAGGATGTCCTGTAGGTAGAATTGTTTGAAAATTCCATTTAATACATCTATAGGGAAGTCTGTGGTGAAAAGAATCAATGAAGATTTTTTTTGCCTGATTGCTGATTTAATAAGTATTAACAGGAATTTAACTCATAAGAATCTTAATAATCTTCTTCCTTTTATAGATATTCGGCGGATAATCGTAAAATCCACTTCAGTTGTAATTATATTATTCTTAATTTATTAAAATAGGTAAAAAATCTTGAAGAGGTAAGAGCAAATTTAGACCGAGCTTCTTTTCTCTTGTAAGATCAGAATAATATCATTAATAACAACAGAGAAATATCATTATAGAGTAGCACATATAAATTTTCATAATTTCACACGAGATTTGTAGTGATACTATGAATAGGCTCTCAAATCTCCAGAAGAAATGTCAACATTACCCTAACCAATATCTATCTGGTAAATGTAGTGTGAATTACCGAGAAACGCCTGTTTTCGATGATTCTTTGCTTGCATTTGTTGCTTCTTAGCCTTTCCACTGAAAGGAGCTTTCCTTCGACCTTGTGGCATATTTCGAGGCTTTTGTCACGTATCAAAAATGATTTTACAATATGCGCAGCATTCCCACCACTATTCAATAGACAAGTTTATACCTGCCAGCATACGATCTTGCCAAATGATAAAAAAAAATTAAAATTTTGCACGGCGGAAAAATATGTGGAGTCGTTTCCATCCTCAACGACATGTTATTGTCAGAAAGCGAATCCCAGTATGTTAACTTAGGTGTTTCTTGTGCATTGAAAATTAACACTTGACTCAGTAAACGCAATGAAATAGCAGCTTATGACGAAATATATGGAAAATGTATATATATATATATATATGTATAGGTTATATATATATACTATGTAATTGGTCATTGCGCAGATGCGCGGACCGGCAGAAATTACATCTGCGCAAACATTGTTGGATGTATCAGCTGATCGAACAGTTGAGCGTGTTCCTGGGTAAAGTTCCATGTATTTAAAATCACGAAATGGAAGGAGTTATTTCAATGACTTATAATGAAATAGGAATTGCGATTTTTTTTCCTGCACTTCTCAGGAAAATGTGTTAGTCATCTGATGCACAAAAGTGTGACGACTTCTGTCAGTCAGTGAACTTATAGGAGTACACTCGAAGGACTTGTCAACGACAATCAGATCAGATGAGAGACATAAAAAAATAATTGATTAAGAGACTAAATGATTATGATTTCTTTGAATATTGGGCATTTTGAGTGATTAAATGAAAATGAAGATATCTATATTGACTATTGTCTTCCTCGTCTCCATTGTTATGCTCTCTATTTTTGTTGCAAATGTAGCCAATTTAATTGCAACTGATAGTGATGAAGAGATGATTCAAAGGCCCAAAGGAGAGGAACCCCGAAAGTATAACATTGGGGATAAAATGGACAACCTCATGTGGTTTTTACAGGTAAAGAAGACTCATTTTCTTTTGAATACCGTGTACGATGGAAAAATTTCAATGAGTTTATTCGATATATATTTCAAAATCGAGAGAAAAATGTGAAATTTTCCACAAGACCTCTCTCTCAAAGTCAACCAAAAATTATCCACTAAGTTCCCATCAAAATTGGATTATAGTTATATATGGTGACGTGTTTTACCGGCAACCATCATATGTAACAATCAAAATTGAATTTAGCTTAATTCGAAATTCATGAAATAAAAAACTTAAAAGAGCGACAGAAACTCTGGGAAATTTCCGTGCACGCAGAGTCAATCGAAAGTTAAGTTCTAGTCAAGAATCTCCCAATAATTTCCTCTAATCTCGTGTTAAACATTCAGAAAGCAATGTTTATAGAGGGATATCTTTGCAGGCAGAGATAAGGAACGATCGTACTTGTATTATTATTTACCAATAAATTTTTTATCCATTCGGCTTAGTGAAAGACGACAGCTAAAGCTGATTTTTTATTAGTTTATAGAACATTTTGCGCTTTCACGCAAAAGCATGAAATTTTTTCGATTCTTCTGATTTTTCAATTTTTTCATTTTCATCATTTTTTTTGTTGGGACAATGAAAAAAAAATACAGAATTAAACGTTTATATAAATAATGGAGAACTATAGGAAATACACGTGGCCATATAGATCGCGCTTGGATAAATGAAAATTGAGCCGCCACAGTTTCAATTAGGAACTATATACAGAATTACGAAATCTAATGAATATTCCGAATCTAGCGAATTTCAAATGAATTTGAAGGATGTCCTTTTTGCCCCCACCCTTCCCACAAAATATTTTCATTGACAGAGTTTATCCCTTCTTGTGGTTATATTTCGAGTCATTTGAAATGCTCAAGCATATTTTCTCAAGAAAAAATTGGTTTTTGCTTCCAAATGGAAGCTTTGAATTCGGCCATATTCAAGTTCCCAATTTTTTGAGTTAGGGTAACTAAATGTAGATGGTGCCTGCATGTATGCATTTATGTATGAGCGTGTGTGTGTTTTTTGCTCTTTTTTTATCCCCCTCTCTTTTTCTTCATCAAGGAGTGATGGAATACCATAATTTTTCGAAATGAAGATAGACTTTTAAAAGCTCTATCTATTGACACTAATAAGTTTCAAAATTTCCATGACGATTTAGAAGAATCCGTAATTCTTCATGGTTTTTTTTTGGTTTTTTCAAAATTTCTTCACGAAGGGTTATTAGAATCTCATGTATACACCTATGAATATAGACTCCCATGTGCTCCATCCATTTAGACCAATTGAAATTGAAAGCGGCAGAAAGATTAAGAAATATTCGTATTTCTTCGAAAATTGATTTACAACGATAATTCTAGTAATTAATATCAGAGAGGAATTAATGATCGCTCAAAAAATTTATATTAATAGGCTCTTGATCGTATCAGAATATGGAGAGAATTGCAATAACGTGTGATATAATATGATAATGAAAAAAAAAAAATGAAATTAAATAAAACCAAAATATGATAAGATATAATTTTATTATTTAAAAAAATTAAACAATTATAGATTATATATTATGTCAGGGTCTCGGCTCTCGGTGCAAGTGATGATTGTCACCTTTGTTAGTACATGACAAAGGGTAGACGCGAGCCCATTATATCGGATGATGGGCCTTTACGAACCACGTCACAAACTTTAGGTCCTTTGGGGCCTAAAGACCCTTTTCCTCCGCGGAAATCGGCCGAAGTGAGGGTACGGCTTAAGAAAAGCAAAAGAGAAGAAATGTCGTTGAAAAAGAGGAAAAGCGAGGAAATGAGTCAAAAATGGAAAATTCGAAATTTTTGTTCCCATCACGTTTTTATTTATTTTGGAAGCTGACATGACGAATAAAATATAAAAAAAAACTGTTCAATTTGTTATACCCTACGTGGGGGGTACTTAGATTTATTGTAGATTCTAGGCTCGAAGGGATAAATCCTACCAATAGTTTGTAGGTATTTAAATATGAGAGTTTATTACTTTAAGTATGTGTTCTGACTGATTACAAAGATTACGGCTAACATACGTCGAAGCCCGATTTGGATCTGCCTTCTGCATATCCAAACGGCCTCTTAAATCCATAATTGTTTGTGTGTCATTACTTGGTCAGCATAATCCAGTTATGCTGGCAAGTGTCACGCTGACAATGCTGGATGTCTAAATATTTAACAATAACCTAATTGACCAAAATCTGGCGCATAACAAATTTCAGAGGTGTGTATCAAATTCCACAATGTCATGTTCCAGTGGTCCCGCCATTATTTACCCAAGAAATAAAATTGATTGAAGTAAAAATGTTCAATAATGAAAATAAAAAAAAAATTATTATTAAAAAAAAATATTCATTTTTTATATGTGGAAATAGCATCAGCTGGTAAAAATGCCAATAATTCAAGAAGTTGGATTTTTATAATGATTTCAGTTTTTTTTCCATGTATAATAGTTATTTTACATTTAATTCAATAACTCAACAGAATTCCAAGCTATTGAAGGTTCTATGCAGTTTCAAAGAACAATTAAAAGTAAAACTTTTATGCCATACGGGGGTGAAACCCGCCGGGATTCTTAGATAGTACCGAGTTTCACTGTGTAGTGCAATATTATCGATTCAACATATCAATTGCGCATCGACTCATCGACAAGATTGCCCAGTCTTTTCTTCTTATCATCGCAACCTAGCAGATCTTGACGTCTCATTTATTCATTCGAGGAAAAAAGTGAAATTAAATGGATCAACACAGGATACTTGATCGTAACGAGGAGGTCAATTTTTCCAGAGAATTCAGTTCTTCGCCAAAAAAACCATGCCTGGATGACCAAAACAAGTACTGGAATGCACAAAATCTCCCACCAGAATTATTGAAACCAGTACAAGAAGTCAGGGATTGTTTGGTTTCCGAAAAGTCTGTTATCAAATACAAAACTGGCTATCAAAATTTCAAGAAGTGGTTAGCAGAAAATAACAACAGCAACATACAGCTGACTGAAACCGTTCTCTTGGCTTATTTCGGAAATCTTAGGCAGACATATGTGCCTACCACCCTATGGACGATCTATTCAATGCTCAAAAGTACGCTTGTAGTCTACGATATCATCAACATTTACAAGTATTCTCAATTGATAAGTTTCCTAAAACAAAACGGAAAAAGACACGAACCAAAAAAATCCAAAGAATTAATAGAGAAACAATGTCATCAATTCGTTATTTTCGCTCCAGATGATCAGTATTAACTTCTCAAATTTGGTGATATTAAACAAATTAATTAAATTCATTACAAATTAATTAGATTGACTATATTCAATCAAGCCGACGTACAAATGCTATTTTTTTCTCATTTGTCAGTGACAGGTAGCACTAATTTTTGGTCTCAATGGAGAATGTCGACGTCATGAGCTGGATGAAATGACGATAATTAGGTTGCAAGATTTTGGGGACCACTACATTTCTTGGCCTAAATCAAAAGTCAAACATTCCGCAGACCGAAATTCGACAATATATGCTACGTGTTTACCAAAATCACCAATATTGAAAAAAACAACAATTGAAGAGAAAGAAAATAAAACACCTTTCATTAAAATGAGTGTTACTAGAAGGGGTAACGGGGTTTGCGCTCCGCGTAATCACCTTATCGACGAGGCAATCTTATGCATAAGGTAAATACCTTTTTTTTTAATTGACTAGCGTATATGGCGCGCTATGAGCGCCAAATCGTCCACGTATGGGGTGTTATCATTGGAATATATATATATTTATATATTTCCAATGTAATATATACATATATAGAATTTCAAAAAGAAGATAGAAAAAAGTCTAAAAATTTATATAAAAAAAATAAATTAAAATTTAATAAATTATATTAAATTTATATATCATATTATATAGATATATTTTGATATGCATAGCGCCAAAAAAAACTGACAAAAAACTTTACGTGCTTTTTTTTAAAAGGGAAAGAAAATTTATTAATTTCCCCGCTTTTCCTTTTGTTCAGCGACATTTCTTTTCTTTTCCTTTCCTTGAGCGTTACCCCCCATTTCGGTGGACTTCATCGGAGGAGAAGCGCCTTTAGGACCTGGTTCGTAAAGGCCCCTCAGCCGATATAGTGGGCTCTCGTCTACCCTTGCTCATGTACTAATAGAGGTGAGGTGCACCTCCTGCTCTCAGAGCAGAGGATGCTCAGCCATGCAGTTGCTAGACCAGCATGCCAATAATGCGGATTCGATCCCGCGCATCGGCGGTCAAAATTTGTAATGCTCTAATCTCACAGTTTTACTGTCGAGCAGTAGTCCTGTCAAAAAGCCGACTGTACCAGGGCAGGTTTTTCCCCCCAAATGAGGTTTTTCACTCCCTTTGGCGAATGCAGTACAGGGGGTTGGGCGATAGGAAGGAAACAAAACGTAGAGACCCGTGACCGTATACCAGAAAAAAAGTTTTCATTACATATTATGCATTATATATTATATTATATAGGGGAGATGTGCACAAAACGAGCACCGTGAATTTGTTTTCATTCTTCCGATTCTTTAATTTTCATCATTGTTTGGTTTGGATCATGAGAAAAACCACCGAATTAAACGCTTATGTGAATAGTGGAGTACTATAGGAGATAAATGTAGCTGTCTAGATCACGCTTGAGTAAATGAAAATTGGGGCGCAACAGTTTCCATTTTTCAATTGTGAAAATCAGAACAACTTCCTAAGAACATCGTTCCAAATAAGAAATGTTTTATCACTTTCATTCCAAGCTGTAACGGTCGAAATTATTCATTTCGAGTAAGCAAAATCCCACTAATACCGTTCCTGGTTTCGTTCCGAGCTTCGTTCCAAGCTGGAATGCTCCAAGATTTTCGTCCCAAACTGGAATGCTTCAAGATTTTCGTTCCGAGTTTTGATCCGAACGAGAATCGTTTCCCGATTTTCGTTACACTTTCGTTCCAATTTACGTTTCGCTCTTCACGCGTTCTACAGAATGAAATGCCAAAACGGCAATTTCATCCCATTCCATAGTTTATTTCATCACCAAGGACCAAGTCCTTGTTTAAATGCTCATCTGTGGATAATAATTTCCAGAGTTACGTTTGTGTGGCATGTATTTGCGATTGGAAGAATTATAATTAAATCAATGTGATTATCCCGCATAACAACCTGTTCTTGATTCCTGCATTCTGGAAATATACATCCGTTGTTAGTTGAAGTTCCACAAGTTAGTTATGCAGAGGATATGTGCTCTAATCTGTTAGACATACCATTTAGAAGAGTCATCTTTCACGAATCTGCCTACATTGGAATACAGGAATGTGCCAAATGATAGTTTGTTCGATATAATACATAAGGCGCAGCGTAAATCTTAAATTACTGAAATTTACTTCTCTTATATGAATAAGGCCATATGGTTACATTTATTACAAGATACGAATTATTACTGTGAACATGTATAGGAATCAAATATGTTAATGATTTCTCAAAGTCGAAAATATTGCTATTCTATTTGACTCGCTTACGTTCGGAACTATTTGGACCGACTTATAAATTCGTACAGATACCGCCCTCAGATCGTTTAATCCCATCTAGGTTGCACCCAGCTCGATAAATGCAAAACAATAAATTTTCTTTTTTCACTTTCCTTTCAGAGATAATGAACTCTATTTTGTTGAAAATGTAATAAGATTCGACTTCAGTTCAACTTTGGTGCAAAGAACTTACAAAGTATTTTCTTGAAATTTCATCCTTCTTTTCTTTTCACCCCATATATTATAAAAGACACGCGCGATTATACCTAGTAATGAAATTTATAAAGGTTCTTCATGCACTCATCCACCTGCGCAGACAAAAAAAGTTCTTTGGAATATCTTTTAAAATTTTTGGGAAATCTCTGAAAGATTTCTATAGAAACACCTCCGAATGTGTAAACATAACACATTCATATGAAATTTCCTGGTTATTATTACTGGTAAGTCAGTCAGACTTCGAATCTCGATAAATCAATTCATAGCAGTAAATGCATAACAAAATTTCGTAGGAATCTGGTATTTACCTTTGTCTATAAGCAAAAATAGATCACTTCCAATTCTGGATGAAATTATTGAAATTTGACAAATGAGAGGCTATAAGCAGAGTTAAAGGCGAAGGTTATAATCAGATGACACAGATAATAATACGATATAAATACGATTTTAGCTAAGTGGCGAACCAAAATCTTTAGGAAATACGCATATTCTGTACTTATTAACGAAAGTTTCTACGACATATTCATCTCTTTTCAAACATGGGAGTAAAAATAGTGCGTTCGCCGTCCTTGATCACCATTGAATTTTCTGTCAGATATTACAGTTTTGGTTTAGATAATTTTAGAGCGTTCCCGGGAAGAGTAACACTCCAATATTAAACTCACACAGTTGAAGATGCATTGCCGATAAAGGTGAACATCCGCCTATTTTTCCCCACTCAAAGTAAAATGTTCAGTGAAATATCTAGTCCTGCCCAGATTCGCGTAGATATTTTGATGATATAACTCAAATTCCCGATTTGAAAATTGGCGCCAGTTATCATATTTCACCTGGGTTATTGCCAGAAGCTTAAAAACCCTGGCCGAACTGGGATTCGAACTTGCGATCACCTACTAGCCAAAGCACTACGGGGCGTCTACTAAAGTTAAAATTTAAATGGCAACATGTTCAAAAAAAAAGTTGTCTAAAGATTGTCGAAATAGTATATTTCCAGACTGTTGGGATGGGAATTTTTAGTCGTGTGGAGTTTGGCGAGCCGAGCCGAAAGCAAAGTTTCCGAGTGTGGGAAGTATATAGTAACAATTTCCAGATGAGCAGTTGTGAAAAGCAATACGGAAAAAAGAATTTTCTGAAGGTCTCCAGAAAATTGTCTTCCGAAGATTTTCCCAAAGAATTATCTATTCAAGACTTAAAAAAAATGTCTTCCAAAGATCTTTCAAAAACAAAATTCTTCGGTGGATGTAAAGAATTTTTTCCGAAAATCTTTTAAAATAATTGTTTTCTGAAAATCTTCCAAAAAATTACTGCGGAACATCTTCAAAAAAAATAGTTCCCCAAGATATTCCGAATTTTGCTTTCGGATATCTTCCGAACATATCTTTGACAGATTTCGTCTTCTGAAGAATCTTTCGAAGATTCTTTTTTTCTACGTTTTTCGGCAAAATTTGACACACTTGTTCCTAGGCAGGAATGCATAGGGAGAATATTCCATCAATTTTGATGCTGCATGATGCAGGATGCAGTAACACAATTAAGCAGAGGACAGAAAAACTTCGTCGATATAGAAATAAAAAAGAGGTGATATTCTTCGTACTAATGATGTGGCGATGTACGATGTGCAGTTAGTACAGCCGAATCGTTGCTCAGTTACGGTGGAGGGTTCAGCGATTTTGGCAAATATGCGATACTTTTATTATAGAATAAAGTTTAAAAGAGAGACGCTTCTCTTTTCCGAAATTCCAAGCGTGCCCGCTTCCGAAGGCAATTTTTGCGAGGTCTTAAATCTGAATAATATGGACTATGTACGAATACATGGACATTCTTTTAATCCTGCAGATATAAAGAATACTACAATAATAATTACCATATTGTTATGTACTTTAGCTACAGTTTATATCAATTATATCATCAAGTGCGGGTGATTAGCACAGAAGATGAAAATTGGCTGTCAGGCGGTTCGTTCAGAGATAATCAATAAGCGGTGTCAAAAAAAAATATTGCGTTCATAACATGGTCAAATATTCTTCAGTGATAGAATCAAATTCGATATTTTTCGGAAATAAAGCCAAACTTACCTTCTTGATTAATGAATCATTCAGCTTGATCTTTATTCACAAGGGGGCATGCAGAAAGAATTAGATATTTTAATATATTTCAATAACTCGAATGTGCTCGGTATTTTAATACATAGTTTCATTGTTAGTTGTCTGTAAAATTGAGAAGCACTTTATACGCCCCAATTAGATTTGTTAAATTTCAATTTATTGTTTAAGTCCGTGTTTACAATTGCCTGACAGTTATATCAGCACCCAAGCAATGGTCGAACGGTAATTAATTCCCATTGAACCGGCCCGTTTGATAGGAAAAGGACAAAGATGAAAACTATTTCTCTCGCTATGTCTTGGCTCTCCCTCATCCCAGGTGAGAAATTTCAAACTTCAACGATAGGATCATGCGTGGCAGAAGCTAAGATTGCCTAGCCTTGGCATACCTAGCTCTGAACAAGCTCGATGCTATGGATATACCTAGGTAAATCCAAACTTGGTGATGCCATACGTGTCCAAGCTTTGAATCTGAGTCTGCGCCAAGCATTCTCCAAGCTTGATATTTCAAGCATGAACTCTAGACGCTTAACCGGGCTTGTTCAGGCATATGTTACCAAGGCAATCCAAGCATGGATCGAGCTTCCTATTCCAATCTTGAACTCAAGATATTTACTCAAGCTTGTTCTGAGCATAGCTTGGTTGGGCATAGATGACCAAGGTATTTCCCAGCTTGATGGTACCGCACGAGTCCAAGCTTGGGATCTAAAGCTACCCTGAGTATGGTCCAAGGTATTCCAAGCTTGAACTCAGGATATTCAATTCAGCTTGACCGGGCATAGGCTAGCAAGGTTCATTCACCCTATATATCCCCAAGCTTGAAATCCATGCCCGTCTCAAACATGGCCCCAGCTTGGTATTCCAAGATCGGACGCCCGGGGCTTAACCGATCTTAACCCGACCTGCCCCACCTAGATAACACAATAAAATGGGATAATTATTTTATTCAATTTTATTAAATTCATGATTAAATTTGCTTTCTATCCTATTTTACCCCGTATTCGTAAAGAGTACCCCATCCTTTAATTCACCCCGTTATTACGTTTCATCCCACTTCTAAATTTATCTGTAATTTAATTTCCTCTGAAGCATCACTTTTTGAAAATGTGAAAAATCTCATAAGTTGTTCAATTTTGCAGTTTATCGCTTTGACTCGTCTGTGCGTTACTGCTAAATAATCTGTATTTTAACTGCTTGGACATTGTAACCATTAATATATAAGGTAATAATGAAAAATGAATGGAATTCTTTCAAATTTTTGGAACATTCTGCAGGGTAGAGGGTACAGGGCGATTTCAAGTTTTGGGTTCCAATGCTTTATTGATGGATTCAATGATTTCCGAATGGAGTTACTGTTAGAATTTTATAAATTTGGCAGGAACATATTTTAGACATTAAAAGTAATTGCATGATGAATAAATACCGTTTTTTCGCATCAATTTTTATTTTTTGCATGCATACTATAGATATACAGGGTGTCCGAGATAAAATTGTACACCCAAATAACTATTGAATGTGGGTAGTAATCGAAAAATCTTTCAAATAGAAGTTGTAGGGCTCCAAGTGGGAAAAATAATGAGATATGTTTTGAGCATTTAAGTCTTCATGTTTTTATGCTACAAGCATAAGTTCATTTTTTTCATATGGGATCAAAAATTTTCTTGTAACAAAAGTTGTTTTACGCGATGAGATGAATCTAATGATGTCACATATAATGTGTTTTTTATGCTTTCTGAGCTCAAAAATACTAAAAATGGAACTTGTCAACGATATTCCAAATTCAGACACGATAAACAGAAAAATAAAGGAGAAACAAAAAGGCGCCAATGGATTGTTCTACTAGAAAGACGTTACAACAAGTGCTCAATGTTCCCACCATTCACTTCAAAACACAACTCAAGTCGACGTCGGAAACTCTGCACAACATTTCGAAGCGCTTGTTGAGGAATGTTGGCAATAGCGCCTCTGATACGTGTTTTCATGTCTTCTGCAGTCGTTGGTCGATTTTTGTAGACTACATCTTTAATGTAGCCCCATAAATAGAAATCAAGTGGAGTTAGATCAGGTGATCGCGGAGGCCAAAGAACAGGACCACCTCTGCCGATCCAACGACGAGGAAACAGAACATTGAGATAATTCCTTACACAAACTGCAAAATGCGGTGGCGCACCGTCTTGTTGGAACCACATTCTTAGTCTTATGTCAAAGTGTACATGTTCCAATAAAACTGGGAGGTCATCTTGTAAAAACTGTAAATAGCGTTGACCGCTGACTCTTCCGTTGAAAAAATACGGCCCATCAACAATGCTACACCACACATTTACACTCCACTGATGCTGATGGTCAATGTGCTGAGTCCAGTGAGGATTTTCCATAGACCAATAATGGGAATTATGACGGTTTAATGCGCCAGTACTTTTAAACGTCGCTTCATCACTGAAAAGGACATTTTGGAAAAACTCGGGACTTTTGTTCAAGATCCCTATGGCCCAGTCTCAAAAAGCAACACGATTCTGTCTATCTTGTGCAGACAGTGCTTGTGTCAATCTGATATGATATGGATGGTAACGGTTCGATTTCAAAATATCGTGAGCTGTGCTTCGTGGAATACCTGAATCTCTCTCAATTTCTCTTAAAGAGATGTGAGGGTTCATGTGAACCATGGCCAAAACGGTAAGCGTACGAGGATTGTCAGGATTCATCCGTTGTTGTCGTTGTCGTCGTTGCAGAACTCTTCCTCTTCGACAATTTCTCTCGATAATCCGAATGCGTGAAGCTGAGGGATGACGTAATCGGTTTCGGTACCGTTGTCGATATAATCAAGTGGCCGCGCGATATGCACCTCGGCATTCTCCCAAAACCAGTAGAATATCCACAACTTCATTTGCGGAATAAACCATGATACGCGAAATCACTCAAAAATAATCTGAACTCAATAATGACCCGTTTCGTACTAAGAATCAATAAACACTAAGGTACACCAGATAGCTCTGGTATTTACACTTTGGTGTTTACTGGTTCTTATTTAAAGGCCACTTTCTGTTTATCGTGTCTGAATTTGGAATATCGTTGACAAGTTCCATTTTTAGTATTTTTGAGCTCAGAAAGCATAAAGAACACATGTGTGAAATCATTAGATTCATCTCATCGAGTACAACAACTTTTGTTACAAGAAAATTTTTGATCCCATATGAAAAAAATGAACTTATGCTTGTTGCATAAAAACATGAAGACTTAAATGCTCAAAACATATCTCATTATTTTTCCCACTTGGAGCCCTACAACTTCTATTTGAAAGATTTTTCGATTACTACCCACATTCAATAGTTATTTGGGTGTACAATTTTATCTCGGACACCCTGTATAATGTGCGGAAATTCGCACTACGATAACGCGTGCACTCTACAATGCATTCGTCCGAGTCATCCATTTAATCCAATATTTTTAATATAACAACTCACCTATAAATATATTTCGAAATAAAAATTCTAAAAAAAAAAATTGCGCTCACCTAACAAATTCCTATTGCTTATGATTTATTTAAAAATCTCCGTTTTATTAGGTACTTGAAAATGTTTATTCGTGCCACATTTGTGTGTTGCTTTGCTTGTATTTTACTGCTCATTCCCCTTCGAATTATAATGAACTAATCGACGGCCACTGCTATCCCCTCCATAACGTTGTTAGAAAATGACGCCGTGAGGTTCGGAGCACCGAGGTCATTCTAAATCGTGTACATCTCCTATACACAGTGAACACGGGAAATGCGCTGTGTATAGCTATAATACATCCATAGCTCGATCGACGTCCGAGGTTCGCTCGAGCGTCATTCGCACTATTCCGAGCTCATGCGATCAACTTCGATCGCGTACGAGTAACGCTTAGGCTGCATCGATATAGACACTGTCTGCTCGATATCGAGATCTCTATCTACGTTACCGACTGCACGATGAGTGGGCTCATGCGCAAGCAATCGGATGAAACTTAGCAATGTCGCACTTTCGATGATGACGGTTACAACACGATTTCCGATAGAGCTCATGTGACAGTGGACAGTGCATTTTCGGAAAACAACATCAGCAATGGTTTCAGAGTTCCTGAAAGGAAACTGTGATAATAGAGCTCACCTACTCACCAATAGTCGTTCAATCAACGGAGAATACATCATCTTGTTTCCTGCACTTAGGAAGAATCCTGCAAAATTTGTGGAATATGTCAGAATGGCCGTCCAAACATTTGATTATGTTTTATCCAATATTGGTCCGTCGCTGGTGAAAAATTGGTGTAACCTACACTCCCAACCAATTATGGCGGCAGAAAGGTTAGTTCTCACTCTCACGTAATTCTTTAATGGTGATTCCATTTTTGGAATCTAAAATTATTCCTTTTCTTTTCTCAAGTGATTATCCTTTTTTTCTCCATTTAAAGGCCTATGTTGATTTTAATGAAAAAATTCAATAACGATCCATTTAATGTCCAAAACTTCATGTAAATTTTCATCGGAAGCTAACCAATCTTTGTTGGAAAAATAAATACTTTGTTAAGTCAATAAATTGAGACAGCACTTGACTGTTTGTTTTTATTTATCATATTGAATGTTTTTGAAGCAATTAACCGATAATAATAATAACGTATTTGGTTCGTTCTCGTCTCGTTATTGATATTCTACTGATGCTGTTTGTAAATTTGAATATATTTTAACTAATATTACCGGGTTTTACGAATATTGCACTTCGCTCCGCATTCCACATTGTCCTGATTCCGCCTTAATTGTAATATGAACTTCTCATCAATATTGGAAATAAACAAATTCTCTAATTCCCAACATTTTAGCGCTAATCAGGCCTAAAGTTCTGAAACATCAAGAAAAATAGAATCATCACTCGAGATTAAAATGAAATCATTTGGGAACCAAAGAAAATGGGCGGCCCACTTGAAAAATAATCATCCATGTATAAATTGCGAATTTTAACTTTTTAGGTTTTTTAGCGACTGAAGCACCTACTCTACATTGGTATTTCGATTCAAGATGGGGATCAAGACGGTTTCTGTGGTCATTTCTGAGACAATGAATGTCCTATGGCTGACACTAACATCAGTTCACATGCCAGTTCCTTCCGTCAGTGATTTCCTTAAAATATCGCAGAATTTCCAAAATAAATGGAACTTTCCGCATTGCATTGGCGCAATCGATCGACATCACGTTGCTGTAAAGAAGCCATATAATTCTGGAAAACTATATTATAACTTTAAGGGGTACTATTCGATTGTTCTGCAAGCTGTGGTCGACGCCAACTATAGATACATCTTTATAGACGTAGGCGGATTTGGGTCCCAACATGATTCGGCCAATTTCAAAGATTTATAAGGCTCTAATACAAGAAAAAATCGTGATACCGTAATCAAGTCAAGTTTTTAATGAAGCCTTATCATGGCATTAACCTGTCACAAGCCCAAAAAGTCTTTAACAAGCGACTGTCTAGAGCTCGGGCTGTGGTAGAAAATGCGTTCGCTCTGACTCGCCAGAAATGGCGTGTTTATTATACCAACATCGAGCAGAGTTCAGAAATTGTGAATTTAATCATTAAAACCGCATGTTTATTGCACTACGTGATCATCGATTTGGAGAACCGAAATATTGTTGAAAATCGAATGGCGGAGAACTCAAGCGATAATGATGATGTACTTATAGAAGCGGTTAAGGCTGAAGATATCTGCGACGAACTCGCACGACATTTTACCATCTAATAAGTGTTAAGTTAAGAGACAGGCTGGATGGAAGAAATTTAATAAATTGACGTCGACAACTGGATTTCAAGAACAAGAAATCCAAGCCGGCCACCCTCACTACAATGCATGGCATCATCCCTCCTCCTGAGCTTCCTAAATTCGCTGTTGACCGCCGTTACCATGGCTCTGATCTCCTTGTGCACTGAGGAGAAGCTCCATTTTGTCCCAAGCTGCTTTCCTGGTGTCTTCACTCATCAGCTTGTCACTCGTAACACTAAAGGCTGTGGGGGCCAAGTGAGCCACTCGCACAACGCTGTAGTCGTTGGCTGACGACGCATGAGAGCCTGCTTTCGCACTCTCAGACGCCGGCACTGGGGTATCCCTCCCCTGCACCATAAACGTGGCTGGTTTCAAAAGATTCATGTCCATCGTAAGAGTGTGTTTGGTCCACGGGAACTGTTATTTCATTCCTACCCTTCTTCTCCCGAAGGAGAGGACGAGCTTCCCCCTATCCGCCACCCGGGGACGCGCCGTGTAGCAGTATCACCTCTGCCACAAGTACTTAATAAACCGGACATTTTTAAATTAATCATACGCAATAGGAATTTATTAGGTGAGCGCAATTTTTTCTCCGAGAATTTTTATTTCGAAATATATTTATACGTGAGTTTTTATATTAAAAATATTGGATTAAATGGATAACTCGGATGAATGCATTGAAGAGTGCACGCGTAATCGTAGCGAGAATTTCCGCACATTATATATCTATAGTATGCATGCAAAAAATAAAAATTGATGCGAAAAAACGATATTTATTCATAATGGAATTACTTTTAATTTCTTAAATATGTTCCTGCCAAGTTCATAAAATTTTAACAGTAACTCCATTTGGAAATCATCGAATGTATCAATTAAGGGGGGCGGGGAGGGGGGTATGGGATAACGGGCCAAAAAAAGCGTTTTTGAAGATTTTTTTTTGAGAAAACTACTGAATATTTTTGAATAGTTTTATTATCATATTATTCAGTGACATTTCAAATATGTTTTCGAATTTCTAGACAACAAAATGTCGAAAATCAACGAAGTTGCAGCCACTTGAAGTAGGCACTCAACGGAATTCCGCACATTGCGGTGTCCCGGATATAAGATCGTAGAATCATCTGAAACACATGGGACAAAAAAAAGTTAGTTCTTTAGAAGTATATCTCCCAGCCAACGTTGCCCTTTTAAAAGAAAAATTTTTTTTTCATTTTTTCAACGGTCGGTGAAGGTAAAAGTACGTTTTTAGCCCTAAAAATGCGCCATTTTGTGGCTGTAAAATCAAATAGAAGCAAAAAATAAATAAAATGGGACCGTTGGCTGGGAGTCAATTGTATGTTGCACAAGTGTGCAAAATTTCAATACGATCGGTGCATAACTTTTTGAGTTATCGTGGACACCGACTTCAAAAAAGGCGTTTCGAGAAAAACGCGTT